CTCCCGCGCTGTCCCCCAGGGCAGTGCCGCGTCCCCGCGATCGGCCCCGAAGCCCCGCGGAAATCCCGAGCCGACCAACCGGGTTGAGAGGGCACCGGGAACTTTTGGCAAAGAAAAGGCAACTACCCCGCCTGGCTCCCAGGCTGCGGGGGGGCCGCGAGGGATTCTGGGAGCTGTAGTCCAGGCTCCTCTGCCGCCTGCAAGGGTGAGGCCAGGAGATAAGGCGACAACTTTCTCCAGAAGGGAGTGTAGGAGGGGAGGAGAGCTGGGTGCCCGAGCACAGTGGGAGCATAGGCAGAGCTAAAAGAGGCGTTCCTGTAAAGTAGGTACGGCCCTAGTATGCTGTTCCATCAACCAGAGGGAGAAGAGGAATTGGGCCAGACACCAGGAGTGACTCTGGCAAAAATAAGGCCAGAGACCCTCTCTCCCTAAACGACCCCTGACCTACATTTTCAAACAGGGTTGCAAACCCTAGCTCCATTATCTATACAAGGCCCCTTCCTGCCTGGTTCTAGTCCCATAGAGCTTGTGGAGTCTGTAGGACTTGGTGGAACCTTGGGGAACTCCTTGCCTTAGGGCAAGTTTTTAAAGGAAGTGGGGAAAAGCTAGTGAAAGGCTCCCAAATACTCGGAAAATACTTGTTGGGATCACTTAATATCACAGTCCTGTGGTAGGCAGTTAGACAGGAACAGAGCAAGAAGGGTTGGCCAGGTGTAGAAGGATACCAGGAAAGCCCCAGGTGCCTGGCAAAGGGCAATTGTAGGGTGGGACCTCGCTCTTCCAGGGTGACCTTTCATCTCCTTGCATATTGCTGCATCCCCTTGCATATTGCTATATTGCTGGTCATGGGTGTTGTACCCTCCCCCTCCTCCCCATTTCTTTTCTCCCTAGAAATAACTCCACACCCAGAAAAGCAGGAGGATACCAGGAAAGCCCCAGGTGCCTGGCAAAGGACAATTGTAGGGTGGGACCTCGCTCCTCCAGGGTGACCTTTCATCTCCTTGCATATTGCTGCATCCCCTTGCATATTGCTATATTGCTGGTCATGGGTGTTGTACCCTCCCCCTCCTCCCCATTTCTTTTCTCCCTAGAAATAACTCCACACCCAGAAAAGCAGCTAAACCAGACAAGTGACAACCTATGACTGACCTCAGGACCAGTTGCATTAGATAATGACCCCCTGCCCGGGCTCAGACCAGTCATTCAGGCCTGGTCTGAAAAGGCCTAGAATATTCTATTGAAATCTTCCCCTGGGACCACCCCTAAAAATCTAAAAATCTCCACACTTCTCCTGGGATGGCCCCTAAAAATATCCATTCTTAGGATGGAGACCCAGCTGGCTCTTCCTCCCAGAGTATGCCCATGTCTCCCCTCATATTTCCCCCTCCACTTCCACCCAGACATCTCACCTTTACCTTCCTCACTTCCAAGCTCCAAGGGCCCTTACACCATTAACTATGCCCAATTCTTCTACGAATTACTTTTACTTCTGTGATTTTCTAAATAAAGGTTTTCTTATATTTTGAGTCTTGGCTCTGAATTTTTTCCTTGCCAGAACTCAAGTACTGAGGTGCCTGAACCCAGGTCAGGTCTGACCCCACGGGGTCTAACACCAGGTGCCTTTCCTAACATGGCCAATAATTCTATGATTAAAGTCTTTCCAGGCCTTGCTCCTACAGTGCCCACTTGATTATTTTAGATATAGGAAAAGCAAAGTGACTGTTTTACTAGACCCACATAAAATTCATGACCTGGTGTGTTTGGGTGATCAAGGAATAGGAGATTTAAAATATTTTTCATCATCCAACAGTTGTAGCATGCTGCCAACTATTTCTCAGGTTTAGTACTTCCAACAACTCCTGTAAACTAAGCAGGACAAATATTCACATTTCCTCAACCTCCCACCCTAAACACATACATACACATACTTTTAAAAATGAGAAAAGCAGCTAACATAGACTTGATGGACAGATTTTTTTGTTCCTATTACCATGTCACAGTTCCATGTTGTCTGGACATAGGAGTGTAAGAATGATTGTCATGGGCTAATGTGTCCCTTACGTCCCCAGGATGATTTTAATTTCTAGTAGCAGATAATTTAAGCCTCTGGTGGTGGTTTCTCCAGGTTGCTCTTAGTGGCTAGATGCAGTGATGGAACTTTCATGGCTATGCCCAGACCAATGGTTCAAGGTGGCATAGTTTATCCATCTACAACTGTGTCTGGCAGCTCTGACATGGGGACTCGATGTAGGTGGGTGAGCACAACTGACTCTTTAGCAGGTTAATGAAAGGTAAAGGCCTGGATTGAGAAGTGAATAAACTACTTTGGGGAAGTTTGTTTTTTTTGTGTGTGTGTGTTTGTGTTTTGTTTTTTTTGTGTGTTTTTTTTTTGCCATAGTGTGGCTTCCTGGAAGGCTGAGTTGGGGCGTGGGGGAAGGAAAGATAAGAAAGATCATTCTAGGGAGTGTTGTGTGCCTGCTCTAGATGCCTGTGGTGAGGTTTGACTGGGCCTAGTGATAACATGCATCTCATCAAGAAGAAACCTCTCTGGCACATATGAAAAAAAATTTTTTAATTGATTTTAGAGAGAGAGAAGGGAGAGAAGGAAAGAGACAAACATAGATTTGTTGTTCCACTTATTTATGCATTCATTGGTTGCTTCTTGCATGTGCCCTGACAAGGGATGGAACCTGCAACCTTGTTGTATTGTTATGATACTCTAACCAACTGAGCTACCCAGCCAGGCCATCTCTGGTCCATTTTAAAGAACCCCCTTTTTAATTGCTCTGATTCTGAGACTACCCAGAAAGGTACTAAAAGGTAAGCAGGCACAGGCCATGTTGAATGCTTGTCCAGTCAGATAGGCTCATCTTGAGCCAGTTGGGTACTAGTTTCCAGATTCCCATCCCTCTCCATCCTTAGCCTCTAGGCAAAGAGCCTCTCTCATTTTCTCCCCTGACTTCCAGCACTCTCCCTACCTTCACCTTATAATGTTATTCTTAAGAAATACCTTAACAGCCTGGATAGTGTGAATTTAAATCACACTCCCTGGGAGTTCAAATGTCCACAAAAGGGATGCTGGTATTTAAGCCTGATTTGTCAGTAGATGGCATGTTTGCATTTACATTTGAGATAGATCACTCTGTAAGCAGGGGATGGAATATGAGGGGTGAGGTTGGAAGCAGATGGATAGGGGAGTTCAGGTAATACAATGCTGCTCCTTTACCATCCTAAGGATTACAATTATTCACATTAGTGACTCTAATAACAATTTGAACCTTTGACATTCTTTCTTCGAAGGAGCTCAAAATAGAATCAAGTTTATAATAAAACACTCTGCCCCCCCCCCCATCCACCCTGATTTATACACAGCGCATAGTATACGGTACCCAGCAGGCATGCTCTCTAGGTTTTGAGGCAGCAGGTCCTGCCAGGAGGACCCCTGTGAGCTATGCAGTCACCAAGGGAAAACTGGACTGCTCTCCACAGCACCAAAAGCTGAGAAGGGGCACATTCTACTTCTCGTCTGGTGACCATCCTCTAGATGTTGGGGTAGATTTCGAGGAACCCTGGCAACTTTGAGTTGTGACCTAAGAGATATTGTAAATGTCAGTTCTGCTCTATCATGTCCTCAGCCAGAATGGGAGGAGCTGCCACAGGAGTGGGGTGGTCAGGGAGGAAGGGAGAGCTAAGTTTATACCTTACTCTTTGGTTCTGAACAGAATTAACCAACAGGGTGCCCTGCACATCAAATTAAGAGGGTCAATAAGTGCCAAGGAAAATAGTTACATGAGTTTTTTCTTTAGTACCTGAGGAGTGATTGTGAATGATTTCGTGAGAAAGGAATTTATCACCCGAAGCCCTTCTGTCAGAATCAGTTCCTATGAGTGCATGTATATTACCCACAGATTACTCTCCTAGAAACCTTTCTGTTTCTAAGTCTCTAAACACAGCAAAATGTGAAACAGTCCTTTCCTCTGTTAGAGTAGTTAAGGTTGAAGAATCATAGTGTATTAATATCTTAGACTATTTGAGATAGAAAGAACCTGATCCAATGGTTTTCAAATTTGTTCTAGCATCAGATCACTTCTAATGAAATCATGTGAAGAAGTTCAATTAATATGTGAACAGAAAGCAGAGCTGCCCCCATTCAAGAAGTCTCTGGCTGAGGAATGCCTCTGCTGTTTGTCATGCCTCCAACACCCTATCATGTGAATTAATCCTATGAACCCCTAGGATCTAGAGGAGCAAAGTCTGAAAGATATGAATTAAAACAATTCTTCCATTTTATAGGTGACAAAGATGTGTCCAATAATTAATAGTTATTTGAGTAGAGTGTAAATCCAATAGGAGGATTCATAGAAATAAAATTAAAGGCTACAATTCAAGTTCATGGTAGAGAATGGAGTTGGGAAAGGGTTTTCCTAGTGGTTTCTTTGGAGTTGGATCAATGAGTCAAAAAAGAACAAGACAAATTGGAATGTGTGAAGGGTGAGAAGAGGGATTCACTTAGACCCAGAGATAGATTTCAACAGAAATGGATGCAAACTTTGCAATTTTGAAGTCTCTGGCTGGGAATCTATTCAATGTAGCAAGGTGGCTATCTGTGTAGAGAGATCATAGGAAGCTTTGAATCACAGCACTGCATTGAGGGGGAGACCTTCATCACTCCCAGCTATTAATCACCATCCTCGGCATAATCAAATATCCTTTAAAGTAAAGGTCTTTACAAGTTAAACACACAGGAGCTTTTCAACCTCTGGACAACAACTGTGCAGATCAATAGTTTAGACAAACAATACTTGGCAATTTCCTGATTCACAGGAGAAACTTTATCCAGCTCCAACCTTTCTTAATTTTTTTTTTCTACGCTCCAAATCAACTCAAAACTTATTTGTTCTAGAAAATGTCTACTGTCCTGACTCAGTTCATTATTGTGTTTAGCAACTTCTACTCTTGAGGTATCTTACTGAACTTCACCTGTAGAGTACAGATAAGACGAACGATTTCTCAACTGTTTTTAAATGAATAAGAGGAAACAAGATGTCAGCTGTTTAGCACAGTGCATGATACATAGCAATTATTTTAAAACTATTAGCTTCTCTTCTGGCATAGATCTCTGATAGATCATGGTAAATTCATAAGAATTTGAAAGATGTTAAATTTCACTTTTTTAAAAGAATTCTCTCTAATTTCTTGGCTTGATTATATTTTATTTCTTCCCTCCCCTCCCTTTCTTTTTATTCTTAAATTAGTATGATCAACTTTCATTAATATGGTAGTTAACTCTAAGATAAGAATAAACATGGAGAATAAATAGATACCCATATTCAATACCATAGTTTGCCTTTAGTTATGAGATTTTTAGAATTAGTTTCCCTTAGACATCCTTTAAAGGTCTTTACAAGTTAAATACACAGGGACTTTTCAAAACGCATTCTTTATTTATCACTAGATGGTTACGGAACATTTTGTGTTTTTAGATAATAAATTTTATATCATTGGCAAAGGGTAAATATCTCTGCAGATAAACATATGGTCAATAGAGACCAGGTGAAATCAATCCATTTTCACACTCAATACCCAGCTTTGTGTTCCCAGCAGTCCAGGGATGCTGACCAAGAAACGTATTGTTTATTTTATTTTTTAAAATATATTTTATTGATTTTTTTACAGAGAGGAAGGGAGAGGGATAGAGAGTTAGAGACATCGATGAGAGAGAAACATCGACCCGCCACTGGGGATGTGCCTGCAACCAAGGTACATGCCCTTGACCAGAATCGAACCTGGGACCCTTGAATCCGCAGGCCGACGCTCTAGCCACTGAGCCAAACCGGTCAGGGCGAAACGTATTGTTTAGAAGTTCTGTGTCTGTTGGTGATGGTAGTGGTAGTGGTGGTGGTAGTGGTAGTGGTGGTGGTGGTGAGATAATGATGATGATGAATGTGTTTAAAGGCAATGTAGAAAAGTCTATGCAATGATCTGCTCTCATTTTAAGAAAAATAATTATAGTATAATTGCACATAATTAAGACACTAACGTCTCTTTTAAGAAATCACACTTTTCCTTTGGTTAGAAAATGGCCAGGTTGTTTTTTGTGGGTGAGGGGAATATTAAAAAGTATTATTTCTGCTTTTTCATTGAAGCATGCATCTAAATTAAGGATCACAAATTAATATTTGTCCATTGAAGTAATAGAAGTGGCCATTATTGAAGTTAGATACAAGTTTTTGGCAGTTGTGATTATGTCTCCAGAGAAATGATGCAGTCTAAAAAACTGATGTATTCTTTTTTTAAAAATTCTGTTTGGCTTTTAAAGTAACATTTATTTTTTAAAAGTTAACATGTACATATATAGGAAACTGAAAAACACAAAGAACAAAGCCATCCTTAATCACAAGCAGTTTACAGTCTTACGTGTTCTTCTAAGTGATCTACACAACTAAGCTTCCATTTTTGTGTAATTAAGATGGTACAGTTATGTATCATGCTTTCTCACACATCATGAATGTTTACCATTTCAAAGTCTCAGAGCTATGAGTATTTTTAAAATATTTTTTAAAAGAATTTTTAAAATTGATTTCAGAAAGGAAGGGAGAGGGAGAGAGAGATAGAAACATCAATGATGAGAGAGAATCATGGATCGGCTGCCTCCTGCACGCTCCCTACTGGGGATTGAGCCGGCAACCTGGGCATTTGCCCTGACCGGGAATTGAACTATGACCTCCTGGTTCATAGGTCAACACTCAACCACTGAGCCACGCCAGCTGGGCAAAGCTATGAGTATTTTGATAACCAAGAATACCCCACACCAACTCAACCTGGAAGAAAATGTAATCCTGCTTTTCTTGATGACAAAAATTTCATAAAGGACAAAAATAGCAACAGACCTCTAGATAAAAGATATTCACAAAGTTACAATGAAAATACTGCCTTCCCTTAATGTTCCATTAAGAATGAGACCCAAAGCAAGAGTACACAACATATAATGCTTTTAAGAGAATTATGGTTTAAACTTTAAAATATTAGTAAGGAGGCAAGTTTTGACTGAACTACTTAACAACATATTCCTATAGCACAGCCTAAAGAGATGCACGCACATCAGTGGTTATCACCACAATGTGAATATGAACACACACTCTGCACATGAACAAGTTCTGATGTCCATTTTTGAGATGGTTCAACAACTCCATGTCCAAGATGCCTTTTTTTTCTAACAATTATAACAAAAAGATATTTACAAATTGGTTAATTCACTAGCTCTACTTTTTATTAGACATTGTCACCTCAGGACATCTAAAAAGTTCCAGTGTTGCAAAATAAAGAACCTTGTCCACAATAAACACAGGAACTTTTAAAAAATCCATATAGACCTATAGTTATAACCTAAAACTTTCTCCTAGGTATGGAGATATTATCAAAGAACCCTTCCCTTCACCCTTCCTCTCCCCCCTCCTCCAACATTTCAGTGACTAAGTACAGAACACCTGGCTCCAAGAGGTGGCTTAACAAGACACTCCCAGAAGACAGTCCTTCCTAAAAACTAACAAGAGGGCTTTTATAAAAGGATTATTTTACTATCTCTACTTTTAATATACTTCAGGCATTAAGACTTGTTTATCCTTGAATACACAGAAATATTAACTACTGATGTATTCTTAATCCTTCTGCATTTGAATTCGTATGAGGTATATTTATGCATATATCAATTTTCATATCAAGTCACAATACCTGCTATTGCCATTTCCTACGGCTGATTGAAAGTAGATGATTTATAATATCCCAAGGATACATTAAGTTTATGTACAGCGATCTTTTATTCAGTCACAAAAACTGTATTCCTTTTGAAAGCTATAATCTTCCATACTCTTACTAGAATTGTATGTAATGAAGATTCAGCCTGTAGGGGACTATTGAGGAGAAAATATAGGCATAGCTAGAGGACGAAAGTACAAATTGCAAATATCTTGATTGTACAAAGGATTATTTGCTATTCATCAAATTTTATATTTTGTTTACTATATTTTCAAATTTTCTCAATATAAGAGGTTCCATACATATAACTAAATGTGTGTTTTTAAAATTTGTTTGTCCTCTTGAAAATTGAGGGCTTTAACAATCCCCTTCTGAAATGAAGAGATTTTACATAAGGGGTCTTTGGTGTTGAAACTAAAGTAGGAGAGAGCCAGAGTCATTTTTAGGAGCTACAGTTTGCAAAAAATGTCCACATCTCATACCCCAGATCACTGACACATTGGGTAAAATGAAAAAAGGGGAATTAAGGTGAAGATGGAATCAAGGTTAGTAATCTGCTGACTCTACAATAGAGAGATTATCCTGAATTATAAGGATGGACAAGTAATTACAAGGGCACTTAAATGTGGAGCAGAGCATGGAAGAAAAAAGAAAAATATTGAAGAGACATGATGTGGGAGAGATTAAACAGAACTCCCTCCCCCCCCGAAATCTCTTTGTTGATTCTTTTTCTATTAGCATAAAATATGCTTAGTTCATTTGTACAAATACTGATGATTTATTTTTATATGCACAATGCTATACTGGGTTGTGAATAAGAAATGAAGGAATACAGAAAGCAAAGAAGTGCTGCCTAAAGAGTAAGCTCAGGTTATAAAAAGTATAGATCATTGTACCCGATGTAGGTATGACTGTGAATGGTGTTTGATATACTAGTATATGAGTTTTTTGGTGTCTAAACTCATGCAAGTGTGTACTATTAAAATTTTATGAGATAGAGTTAATCAAGAATAGATGAGTAAAATTAAAATGATGATGGCAATGTTAATTTTATTATGTGAATAAATAACGATGATGGGAGGTCTATTTTTTCTAAAATATGAAATGTTTCCTTTTCTTTTCCTCTAAGATGCTCACTTTCTATTTATGTTTCCATTAAAAATTGCTTTTTGTTCCAAGTTGGGATCGGACTCTCAGCTCACACATTCCTACTTTTCCTCCACTCCTGGATCTCAGGCTTAAGGCCATCTACCTGACCTGACCCTTTCTTTCTCTGGGCCCTGGTCCACAGAAGGTACTCCTCACCATATTGTTCTTTTGTCTCCAGACCTCTGTGAGTCACTGAACTTTCAGAATGTCTTCAAATGTTAGGTGCTTTTCTACATGAACAAGGTGATGAGGGGCCTCTCCATCTGCAACACCTGCCTCCTGAGCATGCTCCAGGCCATCCTCCTCAGGTCCAGCACCGCCTGGTTGGCCAGGTTTAAACAGAAATCCACCAGTTCCATCTCCCATTCCTTCTTCTTCTGTGAGTTCTCAGTTTGTCTTTTGTAGAACCTTATCTCCTACACTGTGGTTTCTAATGTGCCAAGACCAATCTGCCGAATACCATAAATACTTCTCCCTTTCCCTTACAAGCTATCATCCAGAGCCTGTTTTCCATACTGCCACTACTTAGAGATGCCTCCTTTTCAGGAATTGTGCTGCTCTCAAGTGCAGGTATCAGAGGCAGTCCCAGCACCTTCACACCACCAGCCCCTTCCTACAGAGCTCCCCAGAGAAAAGGGCCTCCTAGACCTTCCTGTTACAGGTGAGTTTCTTTATGGTCAAGTACTGGGTGGACTTCATCATTACATCTTCTTCAACCCTAATATGGGCATATGTTTCAGTTGTCCTGGTTGTTCAAACTTTTGTGGTCAATGTTTATTGCCACTGTCAATTTGTTGGTGCAGATCAGATCTCATAAAAGTACAATAAATATGATGCAAAATATTCGACAGAAGTATCATATGTTAACAAATTATTAATGAAAATACTTTTCTCAAATAGAGTTCTTTTGTCATCAGGTCAATAATTCATAGAACAGAGAATTTGATATTTGATTTAATTAAAATGTGTAGATTTATACTTTTATTATATCTCAATACTTTTGAAACCAATGATGTCAAGGACTTGGCATATTCTTTATTTTTTTTAAAGAAACAAAACTGCTTTATTAAGGCAACTGCTTATGATGAATATAGGATTGATGACATTAAAAATTTTATCTAATTATAAAAACAAATTTGATTCTTGATAAACCTGCTTGCCTGGCATATTCTTTAGACAACATACACCATGATGGAGTAGTCCTGTACTTTTACCTGTTTCCTACCTTTCATTTAGATTCTCAGAACTTCATGTAAGAAAATGTTTGTTAATTTTTTAGGCATACTCTTAAGAAGCTTTTATTGTTAATACAGTGGGGCCTTGACTTCCGAGTTTAATTCTTTACGAGACCGAGCTTGTTAAGGAGCTCGTTAACTCAAATTACTCTATCAACTCAATGCAAAAAATTGGCCAAGAGACAGCAGGTATCTCAAAAAACTCGTTAGTTGGGACACTCATAAGTCAAGGCCCCACTGTACAATGTTTCAGTGTGATTTTTAAAAATTACTTTGGGTACACTTATTGAAAATCAAATGATAATATATGTATAGATTTATTTCTAAACTCTGTGCTGGTGTACTATATGTTCATATTTATGACAACTCAAAACTGTCTTGATTAAATTTAGAGTGAGTCTTGAAATCAGTTTTTTTTCTTATAAAAATTGTCCTTTTCATTCCAGATATATATATATCCCTTTATATATGACTCCCTTTACCCATTTCTCTGATTATTCACCTCCTTCACCTGCTTCCTGCTCTGGCCACCTCCACTCTGTTTTCTGTATCTATAAGCTTGTTTTTGTTTAGTGTTTTCTTTTTTAGCTTCCACATATAATAATGAACATACAATATTTGTTTTAGTTTGTTGGACTTATTTCACTTAGCACATGCCCTTGGGATCCATCCATGTTTTCCTAAATGGCAAAATTTTATTTGTTTTTACGGCTGAATAATATTCCACTGTATATGCATGTATATAAATACACAATTGCTTTATCCATTCATCCACTGATGGATACTTAGGTTACTTCCACATATTGGCTATTATTAATAACCCCCAACACACATGAAAGTTTATGCTTCCTGATAATTTATTTTACATTTTTAGTCTCCTCATATACTTGCCTTCCATATTTTTGTTTGCCCATTAAATGTTTGACCATTTACTTGTTCCTTCATAGTGAATGGATATCTATTGATGACCTGCTACTTCCTCTTCTATACTAGATGATGGCAACTCCACAGCACAACACAAGTGCCTTCAAGGAGCTCATGAACTGAGAGAGAAGGCACAGATAAGCAAGCAATTACAAAGGTGTGGAAAGAATTCCTATAACCATGGAGCACAAAGGTGGGGATACCAAACCCAGACTGAAAAGTCAGAAAACATGCTTCAGAGGAAAGGAAAGCTGCACTGAGCCTGGAAGTAGGGGCTGCAGGATATGTGTGTAGGCACAGGGGTTTCTGTAGATGCCATCTCTCATTTAGTCACCAGAATTACTTGTGCCCTTAGCTTTTAAAGCCCATCAGTTTGCTATTTTGATCAATTACTTCACTTATTCACTCTTTCATCTGTAAACATTTAGGAATGCACTCAGTGCCCCTGATTGTGTTAAATGCTATCTTTTCTTTTAAAGATTCATGACATGGAATTCCTGGCTTTCTCCCTCTCCATGATTTATAGAAACTTAAAATCTGCTTTTCTAAAGTGCAAAGAACCCATCTGGCTCTGCCCATTGTTTCTTCCTTGACAATCAACAACTCTCAATGTTTAAGTTTCTTTTCCTTTTAAGTTGTTCAGTCAATATAATTTATTGGGTGCTTTCCATGGGCAAGTCACTCTACTAAATGCTCAGGGACATATAAAGTTGACTAAGACTTAGGCCCATTTCCCATGAGGCTTTTAAACTAATGAGGAATATATGTGCACAATACAGGGGATAAAAAGAACCCCCTAAAGATATTTTAAAGATAAACATTTCTTGTTTAGAATTAAGTCCAGAAGAGAACCCTTTCTCTTTCCTTAATCATTAGGGAGATGACAAGGTGAAGTAACACTGTAAGGACATTAAGTTTGTATTACATTTCAATATAATTTTAAGCAATTATATAAATACTAGAGGCCTGATGCACGAAATTCATGCAGTAGGCCTTCCTTTCCCTGGCTGCTGGCACCAGCTTCCCTCTCACCCAGGACCTGGGCTTCGTCCAGAAGGTAGTCCGGAAGGACGTCCAGTCTAATTAGCATATTACACTTTTATTATTATAGTTTTTTAAAAAGCTGTCTTTGTATTTTCCGCATATTCCAGGGGAGGAGGTATATAAATTAGTCAGAGAATGTCCCATAATTCAAAAGTCAATTCATTAGGTTATCAAAAGTTAATAGTGGTATTATGAATCAAATTAAATTTAAAATATATATTGGAACTACCCATGGGCTGTCACTTTCTATATTATATATTTCTGTAATTTTGTAATCATTTATAATGATCAAGCATTGCATTTATAATAAGAAAAAATGTTCATAATACATGTGGAGATTACATTGTGCTAATTTTCTAGAAAGGTAGCTGTCAGGCTTCTTTATCAAAATGAAAATATGTTATAATTATAAAAGTTCAAAAAATATGAAAAATAGAAAAAAAATCACCTGTAAAGCTAATACAACTATTACTGATGTTCCGAATGTATTTCTTTTTTTGTATATTGTGAGGTTGTTTTTAAATGATTAGATAGCAATATTCCTCAATAATATTTAACCCTCAAGAAGAAGAGCATTTTCTTCATATGTATCCAATTCTGTGTTTTGGCCCAGATGGAATGGTAGAATCATGGGATGTTTACATGAAAAGATAATATCTTTTCCTAAGTTGATCTATCCAGAAATATCCAAACTTTTATATCTTCCAGTAAGTAAAATCTTTATGTTCTTGATTTACTCTCCTGTAGATGGGGTCACATTAACAGTAAGTAATAATCCAGATTTCTTTGGTACTTGTCTCTACCTGCTCACATAGGACCCTAATCTCCTGAAAGGTTTCCCCAAATTCTATTGGGAGTTTAGGAGAGGTTTTACACATACTATGAACAAACCAGTTAACTATTAGTCAGCTACCATTATCTTTCCCATTCCCCTGCTGTAACCTTCATAGGCTAGATATTGCTGAGCGCCCTGGCACTGCTGCCTCCCCAGGGTGCTGCCATGGAGGTCGTGGGAGCTCTGGCATGCCAAGCACTGCAGTGGTCTGTAGGGAAGCAGCAGGGATGGTCCCCTTCTCTCCTATGAGGGGGTCCTCAGTAGTGCCATTTGTGTTCCACATCTTACCAAATTTTTATTGAAATAGCTTTTTAGGACTATATGTAAACACTTACTACTCAAAATGTGGTCCCTGGACCAGCAACATTTGGCAGATTTGTTAGAAATGCGGGATCTCAAGGCCCATGAATCAGAATCTGCTGCTTAATAAGAGCAACAAGTGATTTATATACAAATTTCAGTTTGAGAAGCATCTGCTTAAAGTACCTTCTGGGACCAAGGAATGAATTCAATTAGGGACACGGACAGGGTTGAGTCAAGAAGCAAAACTGACAAGTGGTAGGACCTTTTTTTCTTTTTTTAATCCTCATTCGAGGATATTTTTTTCCATTGATTTTTAGAGAGAGTGGAAGAGAGGAAAAGACAGAGAGAAACATCAATGTGAAAGAAACACATCGATTGCTTGCTTCCTGCATGCACCCTGACCAGGGCCCAGGCCGGAGGGGAGCCTGCAACCAACGTAAGTGCCCTTGATCAGAATCAAACCTGGGACCCTTGGTTCGCAGGCCAATGCTCCATCCACTGAGCAAAACTGGCTAGGGCTAGTAGAACTTTTTGTAATGACCTCTTCCTTTTGATGATGTTATTTATTCTTGTGACTACACCAAAGTTAGAATGCTTGGTTCCTTCTCTCAGGATAGCTGTCCCTCAGGAAACTCCCAGGCTCCTCACCTCCCTCCCAGTGGTAGGCAAACTGCGGCTCATGAGCCACATGCAGCTCTTTGGCCCCTTGAGTGTGGCTCTTCCACAAAATACCACGTGTGGGCACGCATGTACAGTGTGACTGAAACTTCGTGGCCCATGCGCAGAAGTCGCTATTTTGTGGAAGAGCCACACTCAAGGGGCCAAAGAGCTGCATGTGGCTCGCAAGGCGCAGTTTGCTGACCACTGCTAGACTCGCAGTGGTTCTTAACCTTCTGCCCCTTTAAATACAGTTCCGCATGTTGTGACCCAACCATAAAATTATTTTCGTTGCTACTTCATAACTATAATGTTGCTACTGTTATGAATCGTAATGTAAATGTCTGATATGCAGGATGGTCTTAGGCGAGAAATAGACTTGGTGACCTGCCACTTTTATGTCAGTTGCACCAGACATGGCTTAGGCTAGATCTATGAACCCACCAAATCCATGAGAAATCACATTGCTGCCCATGTAAACTATACTTTTATGTATTACGTTTTGAGTTCACACCTAGTATTTAAAAATTATTTCATTATGAGCAATAGGACTACCAAGATAAGTAAAACAATCTCTACCCTAAAAGGACGCTAATAAAGTGGTAAATATTGAGGCAGGTCAGAACTTCTGGGAGACCATTTGAAGAAGGGGGCAAAAGCTTCCCCAATGCAGCAGTCTTACTGCAGTGATGAGAAACCATTACTGTGTCTAATCCCTACAGCCTGTGTGTGCCAGCTCTCCAGGTGGAACGCCCTTCTTCTATTTCTCTTTCCCTACATTCTTACCCACCTTCCAAGGCCAGTTTCAACTGCCGATTTATCAATGAAATCTGCCAGAATCCCCTCAGCTACATGTGCTTTGCCACTTCAGAACCTCCATCATATCCTGCCTTAAGATCAGTTATGTGCATTGCAGCTTTATGGAGTGTGTGTGTGGGGGGGGGTTATGTCCCTTATAGGCAAATAATGCATTTTAGCCAGTCTTCTTAGATTCACCATAGGACCTAGCATAATGTGCCATAAATTGTTTTTAAAGAAAAGAATATATTAAAGCTAATGCATCTTCTCTGTTACTACTTCTCTATTCAGGAAGTAGATCAGCCTTTCAAATCATAGAGAAAACGTGAGAGAAAGTACTCTATAGTGGCTGGGCTATTTAAGAGAATTAACTTTTCTCCCACACCTTTTTTTAGGTGAGAATGGTTCTTTCATGCAGAAACAATGTCCTCATTCACAGATGAGTAGCTGTTAATCACAGCTGGGTGGAATTTTATCTAGTTTTCAGCTGTATGAAAGGGACTATCTGCCTACTAGTATTTAGGAAGTCCATAGCTTGCTGGGTAGCACTGTGTATGCTTGGTTTTCTCTAATGCTGTGATGGCATTCAAGCAACCTGTCTCTGAAGAGTGTAGGGTTGCTACTAATTATGTGGCATCTTTTGAGCTGCACATCAGTGATGCTTATTTATGTATGGTTAGTATGATTTTTTGAGCCACTGGGAGGAAGGTTTCAGCTTGGATATATCCTATGGCTCTTTAGTAATGGTGGTTATGGCCATGTTTGTGTTGTGATGATAGATGAAACAGCAACCTAGTGCCTAGGATTTTGCTGCTTTGTGGCTAATGATTTAGAACTGTGATTGCAAACTATGGACTATGATGGGAGAATCACAGTTCTTTCCAGTGTGTTAACCAAACCATACGGGCATCAGACACTGGTGGTAGACTGAATAAGTAATTTTTCACCCATATTTAATTTAGAGGTAATGTAGATGTGTTAGGATTGGTGAAATAGGTTGATTTTAAAATAACATTTAATTTATTCTGGACTTTTGCTGTGTTTAAACAATTATTGGATATAAGTGCTAGCATATGGGGTTTACAAATCTGGTCATTAAAGAGGCCATAATATCCAAAGGTTAGGCCCAAGCATATTAAAATCTGGATGGCTTTTCTTTGAGGTAGTTTGGGTTTGAAAGATAGCTGGGGTCTTCTGGAAGTCAAAGGACAAACCAAGGACCCTAGTCTGAACAAAGAGGGCTTGAGTGTGTGTAAGATTTCCAACTTTAAAAATTAGCTTGTCTCACCTCTAGTTTCTCCTCATTCTCACCTCTGTCCCAGGCCTATTCTTATCCTTTAGACTCAGTAGAACCTATTTTTTCTGGATTCTTTGAAGACCAAGCTGAATTGAAAAGGGAACATGGAAAGCAATTCCTAAAATATCTAATAGGACTTGGGAATACCATCTGCCTACCAGTGATTAAGGTGACTATGTAATTTGTCATAATGATTTTAATGGGGCCTCTGCTGAGTCTAGAGAACTAAATTATTTGTTGTCTAACTTGTTGGGTTACCCATATTACACACAGGATTATAGTAACCAACTTTGAGGGCAAGCATTTGTGTTCTTTATAACCTCTTCATATCATTTTAAGTAAATTGCAGCCACTAAATGATTGCTTAGGTTTTCCCAATGAGCCACAGCTAGTGTGGTCTCTGGACCAGAGCATCAGCATCACCTGGGAAATCATCAGAAATGCAAATTCATAGACAAACTGGATCAGATTCTCTAGGGGTGGGGCCCAAGGAGCTGTAGTTTAACAAGATCTCCAGGTGACTCTAATGCTCAGGCAGATTGAGAAGCACACCTCTAATGGCCTCTTCCTAGAACAGTTACCATCCTCTATCATATCATTAGACTATCTCAGATGCACACCCAGGTATTTGAAATGGCTACCTCTTCCATGTAATGAAGCCAACTTTTTTTTTTTTTCTGGGATGGACACTTAAAAGAAATCATCTAAACTTTAATGGGGGCATGACATCTAGAAACATGCCTACTTATGTGAGGGGTTCTGTTAACTCCAGTTTTATAAAGAGAATTAGTAAATGTCTGGTAGTTATGGAATTAAACCACCATCATGGAATTTTCAAACTAATGGAATAGTGCATGTAGCTGTGCTAGTGGCATCATGCTTTGTATGCAAGCCCATTAAAATTACATGCGGAGCTTTTAAAATCCTGATGCTAAGGTTGCACTCCTACCATTTCAGTCATTGCATTATGTCTGCAGCTGAAATCCAGACATCAGGATTTAAGATGCTAGTTTGATTCCATTGTGCCACAAAGTTTAGAAAGTATTGGGTTATACTACAAACCTAGACATAATTCGACCCAGGAAGTCTAATGTAAGAAAGCTGTGCCCCAGGTGACTTCCCTGTTTCTCTCCTAAAGCGGCCTGAGGTAGATAACTGGCAAACCGGCATAAAAGCTCTGGAGTATGCTTTGGAATTGGAGAACCAGTTAAGCCAGCTCCTGATAGATCTGAAGACCACAGCTTCTGCCAATAATGACAATGATGTAAGTAGTAGCTAGTTTTGAAAGTACTATCATAGTTCACTTCTGAATTATGACTTGCTTCTTGGAAGAGGGCTCAAGGCTCTGGTCATCCAACACATGCTTTTTTCCCCCCAAGGAAGTATATGAACCTACTTCTGGGAGTAGATTGGAGGTGGGAGGAGTAGGTGCCCTGGTAAGAGGGAATGCAACTCAACACAAGATGGAGAGGGCTTTCCAGGAAAAGTGTGCTCTGGATAATTAAACAAAATGACTTGCTGCTGGCTTTTAAATCTAGACCAGGAATAGTTAAATGTTAATAGGTACCAGGATCACCTGGAGGATTTACTCAAGCAACCTGCTAGGCCCTACCCCACAGAGTTTCTGATTCAATGGCTTTCATGTGGTGCCTGAGAATTTGCATTTCTAACAAGTTTTCAGGTTATGCTGCTGCCTGCTGGCCAGGGGCCACACTTTGAGAACCACTGTCCCTGATGGTCCCTGCAAAAGTGAATGTTAATGGTGACTTATTATTCTGCCGTCTTCCTGGTTAATGGTGAACACTCCACCTTATGGTGGCAACTTCTTTCTCACTAACCCCATAGTATCTCAGGAAATCAAAGTGAGGAAAATTCCCTTGTACAAAAGTTATCAACCCTAGATGCATATTGGACTGGTTTAGGAACTCTGAAGAGATAGATACAAATGCCTTAGCCTATGGCCACTTACATCTAAATCTGTGGAAATTGTGTCTAGACATCTACTTAAATCTCCAGGTGATTAAAAAAACAAAACAAAAACAAATAGGGTGGGAAACCACTGCAGTATTAGTTTTTTTTAAGTTAATCTGTACTTTTGATGAGATGCCATAACACTCATACTCATTGAGAGTGGGTATTTGTACTCACTGGAGGTCTTGAGTGTCTTAGATCAGTGCTCATTAAACTTCTATGTGTATATGAACTCCCTCTCCTTTCTTAAAATGCAGGTTCTGATTTAGTAGGTCTGGAGTGGGACTTGAGATTCTCTTTTTCTGACAAGCTCCCAGGGCTGCAGGTCCATGAGCTACAATTTGGGTAGCAAGATTTTTGATTGCCTCCTGTTGCAGATGAGGTTCTAAAGCAGCACTTCTCAACCTGTGGGTTGCGACCCCTTTGGCGGTCGAACGACCCTTTCACAGGGGTCGCCTAAGAGCATCCTGAATATCAGATATTTACATTAGGATTCATAACAGTTGTAATATTACAGTTATGAAGTAGCAATGAAAATAATTTTATGGTTGGGTCACAACATGAGGAACTGTATTTAAAGGGCCAGAAGGTTGAGAACCACTGTAAAGGGTTTTCCCCTGTTTATTTCTGTAGTTCTTACGCTTCATGGGAAAGTACCTGGATAAACAGAGGAGGAACACAACCTACCTGCAACGCCAGCTTGCCTATTATAGGAATGAAGAAAAGCAGGCTCAGGAGGAAGCCTGATTGAAAAAGCCTGATGACAAAAAGCCTGTCGAGTAACTAGATCCAACATCCGAGGGCAACAGAGCAAGTCTTCCCATTGTAGTTGTTCCCAAAATCAGCTATTTAAGGATCTTAATCTTCTCCACTGCTTTCCTTCATTGGTGTTTGTATAATTAAACCTGTTTTTTTGCATTATAGTTATGTGTAAAGAGATTGTTATTGAAGCACAAAAATGGGTTAATTCAATCAGTGTTAAGTTTGGTGAAAGCTTCCTAAGGACAATAGGTGCATTCGATTTAAAAAAAAAAAAAAAGGCCTTCTCCTTCTCCCATGATCCCAACAACACTCAGATGCAGGGTCAAGATTTGGGAATTTCAAACAGACCAAGTAGATATAGTATAAATTAAGTAGGAAAACCTTAGGTCTCACTAATGTTTTTTTCCCCTTCAACTTATATATTATGTATTTAAATTTTACAAAAATAGTAGGATTTTCTTCAAATCTATGTAAAGCTAGCCTTGAAAACAAGAGTTCTTGGTCTAGAAATGTTTACTCACTAGAAATATTTAAGGGAACAAGTGGCTGCAACCCAGGTGCCCTTTCATAACCTGAGGTATGCATAGGGACCAGGAAGGTACACAGGCAATTAAGACAGCAAACAACTGTGTGGATGTGCCTACCCTACCTACTGAGGGCAAACTAGCAACTATTGGGGTATTTGCTTTCAGGAGCAAGCAATGAGCATGCAAGCTGGGGTGGTTAGTACCACGTGGGAACAAACGGGGCTCTAAAGGATTGTGTCATGGCCACAAAACGTATTAGATCTGTCATTGCCTTGAGTAAGTTTTTACCTTACTCATTGACTCAGTTTATTCATTTTTAAAGTAGGGTTAATAGTATTTAGTTTATAAAGTTAATGAGAGAATTAAGTAAATTAGTATGTAAAGTATCTAGAACAGTACATGTTCGGATTATATATTAGTTAATTTAGATAATAGTGCCACCTCATAAACTTGAGGAAAGCTAGTACATAATGACATTAGATATACCTTGGGGAAAATTCCAGTTAACAGATGGGTTGAATATTGAAATAGACACAGCTGATCAAACAAGTGATATTGAAGTAAGCTAAGACATTCTCAGCCAAAGGAATAGTAAGTGATATTTTAAATTTTAAGATATGGAGTTCCAATGAAAGATCTAATTTAGAGATCCAGGAGAGCAGAGAAGTTGAGAAAAAGATCCATTGTAGAAAAATTTTAGAGTATCAAGCTCACTGTAAAAGACACCACTTACAAAGAAAGAAAACTGTCATATTACTAATAGCTTTCTCATCAATATTAGATGCAAAGACAAAATGGGAAAAACTTCAAAATTCTGAGGGGAAAAATTAAGTTAGGCAGAATAGACCTATTTGAACATGCAAATATTAAGCTCACAAAAGCTTTAACCCAAAGAAGACCTTCACTGTGAACAACCATTGTTTTAATAAAATACAAGGGCCTGGGCTTCTACATGCAGGCCCAAAGTAGCCTGCCTGATATGAAGAAGCCTTGTCTGGTACAGTCACTCTGGTGGGGAAGGGCATGCCTCAGGCTATAGCTACAACATAGTGAACTTCTTTACCTCCATGCCTTTACCACAACTCAACCTTCTTGAAAATGACTGCCATGGTGAGCTTGTTACCACTGGAGAATTACCAGTTCGCCATGTATTCTTGAATAAATTCCCTTTTATGATTATTATTAGTTTATACTTAATTTTATACATATGGGTGACTATCATAGACATTAAAATCATGAGTAAGACAAGATTGCTTTATCCTCAACACCACTTCGTGTTTTTCTGACAGTTTTTAAGCAGAGTATTTGATACTCAGCACAATTGACATTTTTGAGCCAGATGGGTCTGTCGCGGAAAGTTGTCCATGCATTGTGAGATGTCTAGCAGCATGCCTGGTATCTGCCTCCTAGACAGCACCTCCTCCAGTTGCAACAATCAAAACTGTTTCCAGACTTGCCAAATGTCTGTTGAGAGGCAAAAGCACCATGCTTCAGAACGACTATGCTAGACAATGCAATAGAAAAGTTAAAGGAAAAGAAGATGTATCTATTTGAAAAAGACTTATTAATGTGATATGATTATAACTAGAACTGAAAAGCTATATAACTTACAAGAAAGTTTAATTTTGTTGCTGGATACAGGATAAATATCTACCAATGGACCTTTCCCATAAACAAAAACATTAAAAAAAAAACATAACTTGTTCATAATATTTACAAATAAATAAAAAATTTACGAAGAATTCTAACAAAACTAACTTAGGACCTATATGAAATAAAATAAAGCGCCTCCTGAAAGAGATAAAAATCTTTAAATAATGACTAAAGGAAAGTAAGACTAAATATGAAAATTGTGACATCTCTCAAATGAATGTGTAGGACTAAAGCAATTTGGTTATAATCCCAACAGGATTTTGAAGGTGTGGACAACTTTATACTAAAGAATTTCTCTAATCGTGGGGTAAACATGGGAACATACATAAAAATTACTTAACACTATTAGTCATTGTGAAACAAACACAAACCACATGCGATACCACCACTAAACATTCAGGAGGATGACTGAAATTAAAATAACTGTCAGCACCATATGCTCATAAGGTGGTAAAACAACAAAAGCTCCCACACACTGTGGATGAGAATGTAAATTGGTACAACCACTTTGGAAAAAGGTATGGCATTTTTTTCATAAAAGTAGGCATATACCTACATCATGAATTTTTGGAGGACACAGTTCAGCCCACCACAAATGATGTTGACTAAATTTGGGTGGAGAAAAGAGGAGGAAGTTTCAAGCTAATTCAGTAGGAACCAATAGGTGTTGTCTGAAAAAAGAGAGTTCTAAGAATTGTATAAAAGTCTAATTATAAAGGCAGTCATTAGAGTAAAATTATGACTGATTTTTAAAATAACCCCAATAGTGAAAGTATAAATAAATATAATGCTCATATTTACATATTATTTTGTAACCCTTAAGTTAGGCTTTGATTTAGTCCTAGTTCAGCTGTTAAACAGTGTTTACCCCAGTCTTTTTGCTGAAGTTTCCCTTATCTTTTGGTTGAGTGAAGTTTGTTCTCTGGGGCGTTCTTTAGTAAGGCCTGACATGGATAATATTCTGAGTCCTTGAATTTGGAGAAAATTTTTTCCTCTTTATTTTATTTTTTAAAATTTATCTTTATTGTTGAAAGTATTACATATGTCCCCTCTGTTTTTGTTGTTGTTGTGTTTTTCCCCATTGACTCCCTCCTCTCTTTCCTGACAGACATTTCTCTTAGCATAATACTATCCGAGTCCATCCATGCTGCACAAATTATAAGAGTTTCTTCTTTTTTACCGCTGCATAGAATTCCAGTGTGTAAATGTACCACAGATTTTTATCCACTCATCTGCTGATGGGCACTTAGGCTGTTTCCAAATCTCAGCTATTATAAATTCTGCTGTTACAGACATAGGGGTGCATAATTCTTTCTGATTGGTGTTTCAGGTTTTTTAGGATATAGTCCTAGAAGTGGGATCACTGGGTTAAATGGCATTTCCATTTTTAATTTTTTGAGGAAACTCCATACTGCTTTCCACAGTGGCTGCACTAGTCTGCATTCCCACCAGCAGTGTACTAGGATTCTCTTTTCTGTCATCTTCTTTTTTAAAAAATAATTCTTTATTGTTGAAAATATTACATATGCTCCCCTTCTCCCCTCCCCGCCCCTTGACC